GATATTGCCCACATTCTTCCCAGGAGGAGATGAGGACAGAGAGAAACATCAGCTCCGCTCTGCACATGTACACAGCATTAATCACTGCTGACTTGTCCTGCTAATGAAGAAAACTGCTCCCCCTCACTCCTGCTCCCTCTCTTACTTAACCAACTATGTGCCTTGGTGGATATTAAAGCTAAACTCAGATCAAAACTGAAGTGAATCCTTAGTTTGCCTCAGCTTCTTTGGAATAGTTGAAAGTTAAACTGTACTTTGTTTTTTTAATTTTATTCCCTAGAAAAGGGTTGCAACTCCACTTTCACTAAGACAACTTTTAAATATGCAGTTGGCCCAGGTCTAAGGTAATCCTGCAGTGATTGCACTGAATAAACCAGTAAGTTCTTTATCACATTAAAGGCAGAGGAAAAAGTAAGTTAGTTTGTTTGTTTTGTGGGAAGGGATTCTGTATGGGAATATCTACATTTTCTGCCCATCTCTCATGTTCGGATTTATCCAGGGACTACCAGCATGATCTGTAACACTTAGAGTGGACCTAGGGTAAGATCTCTGCTATAGACACAAAAGAAATATTCAGAGCCAATTTCATGGGTGCTGACACACACACTGTCCATCTCTACATCTGATAGGAGTGACCTAAGCTGCACAAAAGCCTGAGGTGCTCAAAGCCTAGTCTGAACCACCCTCCATGCCCCTAAAGTCAAAGAAAGCTCAGCAGTGCTACAAACTGGAGAAAGAGGGAAGCTCAAGAGGCCAGGACGCACAGTCACTCTGACTGAGGTAGCAGCCCATCTAAACCATTCTTAGCAGCTATTTGTCTAGTCTACACTCAGAAACATTTAGCACTGGAGTTCCTCAGACTCTTCTGTCTGTGTCTAACTGCCTATGTTATGTTTGTAACATATATAAAACTGTTTATGAGGAGAGGAGGATCCAGGTGGTTTTGTTCAGCTAATAGAAGAGATGGCTAACAGGAGGTCTAGCTGTTGTATTTTATTATAGAGTGTTTTGGGTTGGAAGAGACCTTAAGGATCATCTAGTCCAACCACATCTGTTTATTTTAACTATTTTAGGTGTGGGGATACACAGAAGATGGAACCAAACTCTTCTTGGAGGTGTTCAGTAAGTGGAGGACAGGCAATGGACATGAATTGTGGTGGTGAAAGTGCAGACTACCTGTTAGGAAAAGAGTTGTTGACAACAAGCGTGGTCAGCACCAGAACTAGGATACAGAGGTCACGGCCTCTCCATCTTGGGAGATACTCAAAATGCAACTGAACAAGGCCCTGAGCAGCCAGATCTGACCTCAGAGTTAGCCCTGCTCTAAGTGGGAGATTGGACCAGAGACCTTCATCAATGCCTTCCAATATAAATTATTCTGGGGACTGCATTTTTGTGATGACATCTTTATAATCAGAAGTATTTTGCTTTTAGTATGTGACTGAATTGCTGCAAAAGAAGTCAGTTCCTGGAAGACTATTACCTTGTTCTCCTTCATTATGCTCTTCTCTATATTAAACAATTGCTGGCTCAGTACAAAGCTCGTTCAGGGTTACCTAAGGTAATGCCAGTTAACTCCAGGCTCAGATCCAGATGACCACTTCAGGAACTTATTTTGCTTGAATCAGTCTTGCTGAGAAACAGTGCGAACCAGAATAGGTAAGAGGTTCTCCTAACTTCATTGCTAGACATCCAAGAACCAAAGTCCTCCCTGTACATGGGCTTAGCCTACATGGTCATGCTGCAGATTAACCCTTGAGCTACATTATATATTATTTATATATTATTTTTTATTATTTATATTATAATGTCTGCTACATTAGCAGCACGGAAGGATTGCATTGTCCCTGGACAAGGTGCAGTAGCTTGAACTGTCCCCTCTGTCCTCTCACTCTGCAAAGTGACCATCCAGGTTGAGTGAAAAGCTCTGCCTAATGGAGGGGAAGCCACTGAGGCTGTTTGGGTGTGTAGGATCTGAGCTGAGGGCAATGCCAGACCTGTAACTAAAGCTAACTCTTCAGTGAAAACCAACTCTTAATCTAGTCAAAGTATTCAACCCCCTGGAAAGCCTGAGAATGGTTTAGATAAAGCAACGTGTGGCTTTTTTTTATGCCAGCTGCCTGTGTAAGTGATTTATGGACTGTAATATGCCATGGACCCAGAGCACTTCATTGGTTTCCTTAAAGACAGAGGGGTGGGCTGCAGCTGCTCTTACTGAGCAGTGTATCTGCTCCTTCAAGTATCACCACTCCTAAAATAAAAACAAATCTGCTCTTCGAGGGAGCCAGACCTCTCTTTTTTTCTAAGAACACAATAAATGTCCGGGTGGAATCGCAGTTCGACAGCTTTGGATTTACAGACATCAGAAGTAAATTCTGATTATTTATTCTGGATAAATAATGAACAGGATAAAAATTGCTGACGTTAACCTTCATTGGAAAAGTTGGTTTAATGGGCCCCATAAAATCTTCTATTGATGACAGGTTCATAAAGCTCCATATTGACTTCAGCTAAAGGCTATAACTTCTATCAATACTGTCAACAATTAATATTGACTAATAAAGGTATCCTGTAAACTGAGTCATAGCATTATGTTACTTTATGCTGCCATTAGCAGAATTTCTTGCCTTATTGAAAACATTTCTCCTATAAATCTGGGATTTCTCAAAATAGCCTGTGTGAGAGCCAGCAGCAGAGGGCCCAGAGTAGCACTGCTTATGTGCAGAGGGAGAAAACACAGAGCAACCTTTGCATTTGCTGGACAGAGCTTCTGAGAGGAGCTCAGGCTTCATTTTGAGGTTTGTGAGGGGTTTGTGGGCAAAAGTTTCTCACACCTTTATCTGTGCCGAGCAATTACAAAATGAAAATGTCCAGATTTTGTGTACATTTAAAAGTTTTGCTTAGTCCTTCTTCTCTTCCTCCCTTGCAACCTTTGTTTGGATACGTTTATACTACCAATTCAACTCCAATCCCTATATTGAAATGCTATGTCTTTCTCTCAGCTCTGGATCAGATTTTCTGACCTGAACCTAGCTGATATCTCTGACATCTTCCCAGGGAACTCTAAGCATCCCCAACAACAAACACAGTTTGAACGGTGACATTTTCCCTCAAGTTTCACCACCTCTTTTTTGTCAATATGAACAATACAATTACATACTGGACACCATCACTCTTTAGATTTTACTTATGCTAAACAGAATTTGTGTTTTTGAGTATGATATAGCCTTTCTCATTCAAATCACTCAACATATATGAGACTGCAAATGCCTAGGGCCCATAGAAACTCCTTCAACATTTGTACAGCACTTAAATAACCTGTAGGTATGTTGTCCACCTTTCTGTTTTCCCTTTTCTAATTGCTATGAAATTATGATTAGTGTGTCATCAGATTTAAGGGAAGAGGAACTGGAGGTTGTCTCAGTCCTGACATGAGTACTACTGCCTCTTTTATTACTTTCAGTAAAGCCTTTCAAGGCATGTGCTGTTGCTAATGTGTTGTTGCTAATTCATTTGTAAGTGATCTGGAGGTACAAAGTTGCATTTGCACATGTAGAGATAGCATTACGGAAACCAGTGAAAAAGACTCCAGCAGCTAATGTAATTCTTTGCTCTTAAAGAGAAAAAAAAAAAGAAGACTATAATTCTGTACTTTGCTTTTGTTAGTAGACATGGAAAGAAAAATGTATGGGATAGGACCACAGCTGCTCACACACCACCATGGAAAGCACAGGACAGAGCTTTGGGTACAGGAGAATGGCATGGGAAGTGCAATGTGTTTGCTTTTGGTGGTTTTCTAGTGATTTCTTAGGAGTGTGCAAAACTCTAATTGACCCCGATGATCCCTTTAGTTTTTCATCAAAACACAAGGCTGGAAGGAAAACAATGTAATTTGGCACTGCGTGTCTCTCTGTCCCAACTGGTGCGACCCTGTTAGATTCTACACTAAGAAACTTTAAAAAATACTGTAAAGATAATTTAAAAAGCTTCTTCTGTACATGCTTTAAACAGAAGGCCATTTATCTTTGAACTTTGCCTAATATATCATTATCTCTGAGCAGAAACTTAATAAGATTCTGCTGTAATTTTGTTGGAGTTAAACATAAAATCATGTGGGTGGTGTATGTCTCACCGTGTCATGGCTTCCCAAGGAAAAGTTATCATCATTTGTCACTATAATACTATGGCAAAAAGCATAAAGAGAACAAGCAATACAGTCATTTCACATCAGCTTTCTGCTCTGAGCTCAAGCTCCTGATGACTTGTACGCAGCGGCTATATTAAGAAGCAGGCTGTGCCATAATTGAATTAAAGGTGCAAAGGCATATAGGGCTGCGTGAACTCCCAGGTCAAGCTGCAATTGAATCAAAATCCTCTCTCCTTCCTGCACTGCTTGGCAGAACTGCTGACCAAAAGGTTTGCAGACCTACAAAATGCACGCAGGAGTCCCCTGCAGCTGGGGACACAAAAGTTACAGAGATAAAAAATCTGTGACCTTCAGCTTTTATTTTGCACAGAGAAAAAGGCTTCTAAAAATATTTCACCATCACTTTCCTTTAGAGAGCAGTCAGCCGATTTACATAAATGAAACGGCTCCTGTCAAGGAACCAGCAAGGAAAAGAAGGAAATTATCTGCCCCGAAAATCTGTAGCAAAGATAAGAACATCGGCCAGGGGAGGGGAGATTTAAATGCTTTTTTGTCTGAAAGGTTGCTACAAAAAGCAGAGAGAGTATTACAGCCACTTAATGATCTCTGTCGCTGTGATAAATAAGTAGGAGCTTCTCCAGCAGTTTATTAACAAACGCTCTGTAGGACAGTACAAAAGGCCATGACATGGGGCTATTAGAAGAGTGTTTTCACTGAGTCTGATAAAAAAACCAACCCAAAACCACAAAACCTAAGAAAGATTAAGGTAGCTTGGTAAG